GAACGTCCTCCTATTGGAAGCCGACGCAGAGAACAAAGAATGGATGTTCGATATTTCTCCTACCATTCTGCAATGAGATATCCCCCGACTGATTAGATTAGGAAATTGGGAGGAAACCAGCCATCACTCCTATCTATACATGGGTGTACGCCGCTCCGTTACTTGACAGTCAATTTGGTCAAAATTATTCCTATTCTATCGGTGGTTGGATTCCCAGAGATCACTGTCATAAAGGAGAGTTGTATTAATGTGGTTTAAATAAAGTGGCCTTGGAGCAGCTGAACTTGGGTACTTTCTAGATCTGAGAGTTGAGTTAACTAAAGCCTGGTGGTCTCTAGTTGGTGGATAAATTATCCTGACAGAAGAATTGGAGTCTTGACATTAAAAATGTATGGAATAGGCTTTTTTATTGAAGGAAATCTATTCAATTTTTGTAATGAAGAACACCAATCCTTCTGAAATGTTACTTTTGCCTTGTTCCTATTATGCCCCCTTATTGCTCTGCGACCTCCAGATCAGAATATTCAGAGAAATGGATAATAAGAAGAAGATGGGAAGAAGGGATATCTCAGAAAATTGATGGTCAGAAATATACGAAACCACGAGAGCTTGAAAAAACGACAGTTTTTGCATGAATATTGGACATGTTAAGTTCTCAACCAAGCGTCACTTCAATAATGCCGAATAGGGACAGTCGAATCTCACCAACTTGGGCTGATTCCCAACTGTGAAAGAGTTGGGGGGAGGGGGGGCATTTAGGTTGCCTAGTTTTCCTTATCTCCACCTGGCGTCAAGATTCATCGTCATTTGGAAGAAAAGATTTGTGATGAGTAATTGAGTTAACAGTAGAATATAAGTCTGATGCCTTTGCTCTTAATATGCAATAAATAAGCCATGTAGTAATTGGTGATTTTAGATTAATTTTAAAGCCATGCTGAAAGCATTGAAATATCGTCAATCTGCCATGGATTAATTCAGATCTGAAAATGTTAATTTCGTGTTTGTGAGGCGGTAGGACGATTAATCTTTATCAATGGAGACGTTCGGTTCGCCAAAATATCTTGTAAATAGCCAATCATTGTGCTTATTTTAGTTAAGACAAGTTCTCTTCTACGAATAGCTTGACTTTTATCCACTTTGAACCCCTTCTTAGTCATTTTCTCTTTAGTTTATTTGCCATTAACTTTCCTAACTACTAATTCATAACATTTTATTCTAATTTTTTTGTATTGTTCTCCTTGGCACTTCATATCACTTATTAACTTTAGGCCGTATTTAGCAAAACAACTATGCATTCGTCTCAGTTTTGCTGGTCTTCAGCGATTTCAAGATTCAACTTTAACATAGCATTTCATATTGGTATATTTTCATATTTCCAGTTCGCTTAAAAAGTAATTGAGCTTTACAAACTAGACAACTGTTGAAATTAACAATTGATTTTATTTATCTGACTTGTAAATACTTTGATTAGGTACCGTCAGCTTTGGAATTCACCTTAAAGATGATTCAGGCATTTTCATAACAACTGTAGGAACTCCAGATAGAGAGAGATTGCATTGCTGAGAAGGTATGCCAATTTACAAACGGATATTTTGGTTCAATTTGTGCCCAGATACGGTGATCGAAAGAACTCTCCAAGTCCTCTTCTTAGTAGGCAGCTAGTTGATTAATTTTAAGCAATATGCGTAAAAATTTTCAACCCCAAATCAACAGACAGCGATCACGACAGATGTTGCAGGCTGCTTTTCCGTTCAACAGGACTTGAACGCGCCTGAAAGGACCCCTTAAGCCATTACTGAAATTTATGGCTAAGTGCTTACCGTCTAGCGATATCAATTTCGGTTTTAAACATTGAAATTTAGGCCAAATTAAGGACGACCTACACATTTTAATGACGACATAGTAAAATCCCTGATTGAATCAAAGTCTCTACCAACTATAAGCGAATTATTACAGAAATTTGATTGCTATGGTTCAAGTACGCTTGATGCGCATCGGTAAATTGGATGGGATTAAAAATATAACAATGATGAGTGGAGAAACACGTAGATTTATTCGTTGTCTTAATGACAAAAACTTGTCCATACTTTGCAAGAAGCGGATTTTTACGACACTAGTGGGAAAAAAATTGTTGCCTCCAAGTTAGACGCTCAGTTCATCTAAGCCAAGTCAGGGTTGAATTTCTCTTTTATGCATTTGGTGGGATCTATGTGGAATAATCTGCAACGAATTGCTAAAATCGGGCGAAATTTGGACAGCCGAAGTTCTTGCTTTAATATTTTGAGTTTATTTAGCAGAAAAGGGCTATTTCTTTAACTTTAGAGTCTAGGGAATAAATTGGAAGGTACCACGACATCGACCACATTTGCCAGACCAAGTGCCGTCTGATTAGCATATTTTTCAGGTCCAAAGAGCATATTCAATGAGTAAAATTGCTTGCGAATTCGAATAACCTTGAAAACCATTTAAACGAGTATTTTAATTACATAAACAGTAAGTTTTATTAAAATAGGAACGAGAAACTGCAAGAACAATGGGCATGGTAGAGGTGACAATATCATTTAATGCCATATAAATAAGTTAATAAGGAGCAGCACTCTAATGCTGTTTTTAAAGTGCTCAACATTCTATTGGAATTCCTAAGCTATCGTGACAAGTTAGGATTTTCTGCTTAAATAGAGATGTCAGATTTTCTTGCCTTCAGTATCTGAGTGCCAGAATATTCCCCGTTTTAATTAGCTAATCCTACTCACTGAGGCGCTTAAATATTGACGTCTGAACTATCCACTAATGCTATCGCAAAATATTTTTCCCAGCCTCAACTTCTACCCACTTTACTGTTTTAAAACGGCGTTATTTTCCTCATTTTGTACTGAAATATGATATTATTCAATCACCTCCATAAACATCAGCCAATGCCAATATCAGGCCTTGTTATGCAATTATGTAAGTGTACTTCGATTTTAGAAAAAGAGGTGTCGAAACGAATGTGGTCTTAATAAGAATAATTGAACCACCGGGACAAGAGCCAATCATAAATCAGTAAAACGCAAGGGGTAAGTTATTAACATATCGGAATGAAACGTTACTCCCAAAAGAACATGGAAAATTGACGCCGGTGGAACAGTTTCACTAATTAAAAAGAAGTTAATTTGAAGATTATTTTATGTTTAAACATATTCTAATAGATCCATGCTATTCAGTTCTTACCAATATTGAATTTTGCCTGTGTGATTAACATCAACTTAAAACGATAACGTGTCCATCTCATACCAAATAGTACTAGTTTATTTAGATAATCATTAAATAACCATCCGTATTAATCGCTTCCATTATTAAAATGAAACTTTCCAATTCTAAAAGAATCAATGGGTGATAAAATGAAAGATTTTGAAGGTCATACTTAGCTCCTAATTCGGAGATTGTAAAAGAGAAGATCTATCATTCTGAAGTATGCACTTCCATCCAATTGGGTCTAATTTAAGATCTGGGCGTCATCGTCACTTAATTTTTAAGACCTATGTAATTGCAGATCAACACTTTCTTTTGCTTTCAAGCTAGCTAGTGCTGGATTATGCAGGGCATAAATGCGAAAATACAAACCTTCGTTCCTGAAACCCAACCTACGGTGATAAACAACGTGAAAAATGGCTTTTCGCTTCACTGTACTTTCCCTTTATTTAACTTAAAAATTTAACCTGTTAACCTTTTTTTCTAAATTGCAACTTTGGCTATTCATTCTGACGAAATAAATTATATAGGGGCAGTAGCAACTTTGTAGGAACTTTCACTGTGGAAATGACCAGATAAAAGGATCGATCATTAATACAGCTACCAATGATATATATATATATAGTTCATAGAGTGGTCGAAAAGACACATTTTCATCAGTGCATGAAAAAGGAGGTAGGCATAGATTAAGTAATTTTGTATAAAACTTGACCCTAAAAATATTATTTTCAATTGAGATAATAAGCAACAATAAAGGAAAAACTCGCCAACCAATCGTATGATTCTTGATTCATTGACTAATCAATTATCCTTGCTTCAAATTATGATCTGGAAAAATTGGCAAAATTTAATAAAGCATTTTTAGATAATCGATTATAAGTTTACACGATAGAAAATAATAATTTTTTACAATAAATGTAGTTGCATATAGAAAAATATAGAAGTGTAACGTGTAATCAGATGCTAAATTAGCCCGAATGAAAATATCTATTACTGCTAAGGCATTCGATTCAAGTAATATTTAAGGTCAAATACGTGAACTAGAAAATTGAAGTGAAATGAGTGAGGATAAAGTTGGTAGTAATTCAACTAGGCATAAATTAATTTACCTGCTGTATATAATTAAAAATTTATCAATTTCAACAGAGAAAAATTAACAAAACAGAACAATTAATAAATAATCCATACCCATTAGAAGTACAAACGTGTATCATAATTAATACACAAATTTCAGGATCGACCTAATTTAAGCGAATTTTGAAACCAAAATTAAACATAAAATCACAACAGGGCAGAGAAAAAAGTAGGCTGAATTGAGACGCTCACAGATAAGGACATATTTCATTCTGCAAAACTTATTAATTTATATATTTTGACACAATATACACTCTAGGCTGGAGAATTAATGCAAAAGTCAGGAGAGAAAGAAAGGACAGAGAAATATATAGAAAGAAAAGAGAAAAATAGGGAATTTTGAATTCAGAGAGTAGCGGAGGGCGAGATAAAAGACGAAAGTGATGGAGTAACAACTTTATCCAATGAAAACAAAGGAGAAGATGGAAAAAGTTGTGAATTCTTGCAGTAGGTAGGGGCCAGTTGTATTCACTTTGGCATGGTTTTATGTGTGTCTGCTTTCAGTATTATTCATACCGGAAAATATTAAAGGAATCACGGTTTCCACAAAGAACAAACGGGAAAATTCCCTAAGAAAACGCTCAAAATCACACTAGCTGGAATTTGGGAGGGGAGACGGAAAATAGCAGCGGAATTCACTTAGCAGTCCAGATATAGCACAAGGAATCCCAGGAGCCTGTAACTATAGCATTTCCAGCTTCATTCACGGCTAAAGAGGAAATACGAGCATCATGAGCAGACATAATTCCAACCCGTTCTTCCCGTAGCACATCCCAAACATGACAATTGAAGTCGTCATAACCGGCAAACAGCACTCGTCCTGATCGAGAAAGTGCTACACAAGTACTTCCACATTGAATAATCTCATCCACATAGGCGGCAACAGCTTGGTCTGATCGAATATCCCAAAGTCGGCAAGATGTATCATCAGATGAAGTAACAAAGGCCTGAGAATTTGGGAAAACATCCACTCCGTTAACGTCCTGTTCATGTCCCTCAAAGAGTTGGCTGCATTTAGCTGTCCGTATATCCCATGTGCGACATGTATAATCGGAAGAAACAGAAATAGCAAGATTCTTATTTGCACGGCAAACGCGAACGCTGTTGACATCATTTGTATGACCGGTAAAGGTGGAAATTAATTTTCCTTTTTGCATATCCCATAATCCGAGAGTTTTATCACCAGACGCGCTAAGGAGTTTTGTTTCTTCGATGTAATCTAAACTGGAAATATATCCACTGTGTCCGGAGAGTTCTTGAGTTAATTGAGCAGGAGTACCTTCAGGGGAAGTGAGACTGAAAACAGTGATAAGATTGTCCAAACCACCACTCACAACTTGTTGCATACTGGGGGCAATTGCACATCCGAGAACCCAAGCAGTTTTAAGGGGAATCATACGTACCTTATTAGCAGTATATCCATCCCAGACGATAAGTTTACCATCCTGGCCAGCAGAAAGAATTAACTGAGAATCTGAAGCCCATCTAACAGAAGTCACTTTTGCGATATGACCGCGGAGAGTTTTGCGAAATTTGAACTTCAACCGTCCAAGTTCGACAACATCCTTAGTCATTGTATAAAAATCTGTATCTGCAACTTCCTTCCTTGCAGCTTCGAGTTGGGCTTTAAGGGAGGCGATTTCCTTCTTTAAAGCTACCTCTTCTGGACTCAACTCCTCATTGGAAGTGGGAACAGAGCTTCCGGGTACTCCAGCCATTTTTAATTCCAAAATTCGTTCGAAATGCTGATACCCAGACTTAGAAAAATGAACGCATTTCACAGGGAAGTCAGCTGCTTCTCAATGCAGTGCAACCCCAACACTTTTGGCACGCGTATAGAATCGCCAATCGTGCGCAAAGGACGACTGGTCAGCAAGCCAATCAGACAGCCCAATTTCGCCTCGTACCAATAAGAATAGCGTGCTTTTACAGGGTATGCGTAAAGTCTGTGCCTATGACGCTAATGCGTACAACTATCGCACAGGCATTATCGATCGGTGCGTACGTTCGCGCTGGCTTGCCTGCGGTTGTAAGGCACGCACGTTCGCCTTTTACTCGCAACACACATTCTCCATGACCTGTGCTGGTTGGGTTATGTTTATTCGTGGTGCGTTGACGCATAATAACGCCAGATCACTGCTATAAATGAACTCTCTAGCTCTCTAAGTAGTTAAGCGGATGGATAAATTAGTGACAACGAACCACGTGCCCATAATACGTGTAACAGCGTATCAGATCATTGGGGGCTTAAACCAACGCAGTAGAAACTACGCCATTTACCCAGGCAGTCCAGAAACTAAGTATTATGAGCAATTTCCAGCATTTGGTAGGCCCTCTTCTTGAAAGCTAAAAATTACAAATTTTCTCAGAGATATTGAAGGAATCTCAACGATTTTAAGGAGAATTTGTCGGAAAAACTACAGCCACAGTGACAACATGTGTTAATTAAATTTTACATAACAATTTTTGAAGTGACAAATCATGCCATGCCTAGGTCTGAATCGGACACGTCGATGCATGAAACTGAAGATCAAGAGTAAAATAAAATAGAAGTGACCGATAAATTTACTTAGATTCCTTCCTCTTAATTTCGTTAACTAAAAATCAATGCGCTTGCACCGTATTTCATCAGCAGGTTGAACCGAATTAGTTACCTGATTTCAAATAGTTATATGCTGAACCAGTGTGGCCTATTGAAAACTTGTATTTACTATGAATTTGTGAAAGCAAAAAAAATGATGTGCTAATAAAAATAATAGTGGGGTAAAAAATCAATATTTGTGCAATTGAAACGAAGCGACAAATTGCAGTAGAATCTTCGAAGGAAAATGGAATTTCGCTCTACACAATGTTAAAACAAATTTTGTTATGAGTATTTCTTAGAATTTAGTGAGAATTTTGCATTTAGAGAGAAGAAAATTTGCAGGATAAAATTCAGCTTTAAAGATGACAGTAGGCACTGTTTTACATGTTATTTTTCCTCACTTTAAAATAAATAAAGTTCAATAAATGTTAGTTTCGAAGTCATTGTAAACTTCAGTTAAATTATGTATTTGATAAAGCCAATAGGAAATTGATATGACCTTGTTAACCTCTTAATTGGCCATAATTGACTGAATTCGATAATGTCATATGATTAAGCGTAATTAGACAAGCAGTGACCGTATGATTTGGCATATTTTTTACAACTATGCAAACTTTACGAACAAGTAACAATTTATTGTAAATTTGATATTTTTTCTTAAATAAAAGTCATTTTTTCATTAACGCCCCTTAACAAAAGGTTGTGATTAAAACAATTTAATATTGGGTCCAATGTAGAGTTTTCCCTAGGTCTCAAGCGTCTGGGATTGGCCAATGATTGCTCTAGATCTCCGGAGTTTCAGGATTTCACGACGATTTAAAGAATAAGGTTGCGTACTGAAAACATAGACATTTGTGATGGTGCACCCAAATCTGATTATTTAATGAGGTACTCGATGCCTAAAGCGTAAAGAATAAGAACCCCCTAACAATGTCTCATTTTCATGTGACTCAAGAGTCCCCTTTTCGCTGTCACAACTGAAATTAGATGGAGGATAATGAGATTACGATAAAGGAATTGAACCGGGTGGTATAGCTAGGCATAGAATCTTTATGTGACATGAATAGAGAATAACCTAGAGGAGGCTGTTGGCAATGATATCGGTTGTGACAAAACTAGTGGGTTTAAACAAAGGCCATTTCGAGTGCGACAGGACGAGACAGGTCCTTAGCCTTAGTTGGCGATCACATAATGGGATCAAAACCAAATTAACCAAATAAGGTCAAACAGGTAGGGCTGGGGGTGATATTCATCAATTCCAAAAATTGAATTTACCTTAAGGTTTTTTTCTGTGTGTGACAAGAAGATCATTTTGCATTGACCCAGCAAATGCATAGACATTCGTATTCTGTAACTATGCCTATGTCATACCAATTTGTTCACATTTTTAAACATGAACGATTATTCCACCATTTCCAAAATTATTCTCCAGTCACATTTTTTTATGAGATGACGCTGTTCTACGACTTTGAATCAAACCCCAAATTTCTCATATCCAGAGGAGGTTATCTCTCCTTCTCTTTCTACAACTTCCCGTGTCATTTTACGTACATTTCCACTCCCAACCTCCAATTTACTCATCCCTCAGCTGTCTGTAATTCCACTCATACCCTCTTATCTACTCGTACATCTCCCTCTCATCCCTTCTCTCCCCCCCCCCCCCCCCCCACCACTTCCCCACCACTTCCCCCAATTCCCACAAACTCAACCCTCTTCCTAACTCTCTCTCTCTCCCTCCCTCTCATTTCCGTATCCTGCTTTATTCACTACGCTATGGCTTTTGTTACACCACTAAATCTAGTAATGCTATTTTTAATACAAAATGACAGAATCAAAAAAATCTGGTCAACTGAGAAATGAAATTTTATGAATAAAATAAAGTTCATTTGATATTCTCGCCTACTTCCCTTTTTCCCTGTATTCACTCGTTTTTTTAATTCAAGTTATTTTAATATTGATGCGCACAAATTATGAATATTTATTTATATCAAATGGCAGGCGTCTTGATGGTTATCATTAGCCCTTTAATTGATTTCAGGCTTCACAGAGGGAGAGGAACATCAAAT